TAAATGATATAGAATTTTGTCAGGGGAAGTGATGAGAAGTAACTGATACTAAATGTTTTGAAGGCAGAACCAACAGGACTTCCTGAGGGATTAAATGTGGTATGTGAAAGAAAATGAGTCATTAGGATTTTGGTCTGATAATCTGGAAGGAAGCATCTGGAAGTTGCTTTTAACCGACCAATGGAAAAGTGCTAGAGAAGCAGATCTTGGTTTTTATAATGGAAGTTCAGTTTGGACATAGTAATTTTGAAATGCCTGTTAGATATCCATCTGGAAATGTTAAATAGTCAGACATATGTGACAAAAAGAAGGTTATCCTAGAGATATAAATTTGAGAATCATTAATGTATAAATGTTATTAAAAGCCATTAGGCAAGATGTGGTTACCAAAGAAGGAATACAAATGGAAAAGAGAAGCAGCCCAATGACTGAACCCTGAGACCCTCCAACAAGTAGCAAGCAGCTGGAGAGAAGAGTAGAAAATAGAAAAGTCTGAGAAGGAATGATGTGATTGGAATAAAACTACTAGAATATGGTATCCTGGAAGCCATGGAAGAAAGAATTTCAAGAACAGAACTGTCAGTTTTGTCAAGTACAGCTCAGAGAATTCTTTAACAGTTGAGGAGGTCAGCCCCATGGAAATTGATAAAATGGTGGTTTATGTTCTCAGCAAAGAGAGGAAAGGTTTGCTCCCAAATTTAATAATCCCTTCAGTGGCCTATACAGAGGCAATGTGACATCAAGGTTTGGGCTTGAGAGGCATAAGGATCTGGGCTGGATTGGCCAGCAATTCTTCTGTGTTTGTTGTGTCATCTCAGATTTTAAATACAGAGAGAAAAGAAGTTGAAACTGAGAGATACATTGGAGAGCCTGGCCCACTGGTCATAGATGTAGAGGTAATGGCTACCATAAAGTATAGCCAGAAGCATTATTGAGTAGTCTCTCTCCACAAGTAGACCTCCCCATTCTAATATCAGTGTTTAGATTTTCTTATTTTAAAACAGTTAGTCACTGTTTTGAACATTTATAATAATAATAAAAACAGTGAATACTTATAACATTACTATGAAATAAATTCTATAATTATAATATTTTTTACAGATGAAGAAACTGAGGCAGGGAGAGACTAAGTACCTTGTTCAATTGCTGCTGTCACCCATTGTCCTTACTCCTAACCTCTGTATCATGCACTAGCAAATATGGTGTTGGCCAAATTCTGCCTGCATCCTGTTTTTTGTACATTTCTATTGGCCTGTTACAAAAGGAAAAAAATATACAACACAGATCTAACGTGTCCCACAAACCCTCAAATATTTACTGTGTGGCCCTTCACTAAAAATTTACCAGTCCATATTCAGCACTATAAAATGGGAAACATAATGCTTCTAATTGTATTGTGTAGATCAAATTGTATAATTTATATAAAGTACCTTGTAGTGCTAAAAAAACACAGCAGTTTTCTATGATTCATATTATACTCCTGGGCTGGGGATGTAGCTCAATGCTATAGTGCTTTCCTAGCATGTGTGAGTCCCTGGGTTCCATTCCCAGCACCCTCTCCCCAAATTATATTTCTTTGGCCATCTGTTTTCTACTTCCTGTATTCTCCCCCAGAGGAATCCCCTTTAGATTTGACTCATGCCAAACTCCTATCTCTTCTTCAACCTTTGGTATAAAGTTACCAGAAATACTCAATCTATACAGCAATGCCAACCATTATTTGTTGAACATTCATATATTAAAAAATAAGCTGCTCATGTTGGCACAAGCCTGTAATCCCAGCTACTCAGGAGGTTGAGGCAAGAGGATCATAAGCTCAAGACTAGCAAAGGCAATGTAGTAAGACTCTGTCTTAAATTTAAATAAAATTTAAATAAATGAATAGTTGGAAATGTAGCATAGTGGTAGAGCACTTGCCTAACATGGGAGAGGCTGTGAAAGTGATCCCTAGTACCTCAAAAAAACAGTTAGTAGTACTTTCAGTGGCCTTAAAATTCCTAACTAAATTAAATAAATCCGGTAAGTTCTACCTAAGGAAATCTTGATGGTAAATGGTAAACAAGTGGCTAGATATTTTTCCCAAATGGCATTCTAAAAATAGCAAGTAAGGGCTTGGGGTTGTAGCTCAGCGGTAGAGCACTTGCCTATCATGTGTGAGTTGTGGGTTTTATCCTCAGCACCACATAAAATAAATAAATAAAATGAAGGTATTGTATCCATCTAAGCTACAGAAATATTTTTAAAAATAGCAAGTAAATATATAATATGTATATCTTCTAAAAGGTAAAATTTGAAATAAGCATCTAGAAAATTTTAGGGAAGCTCTTATTTCCTTTGCTTATTACATGTAAGGAAAAAATATAGAACAGTAGAACTTGAAGATTCCAAAGAAATGCTCTAGTCAAACACCCTGGAGTTAAATATAAAAAATTTGAAACACAGAGACAGGAAGATACTTAAACATGGTGACACAGCAAATGTGGAGCTAGAATCTGGTCCTCTTAATGTATTACCTCTTCTATTACACTAGTGATTGGAAATTAGTGTCCTGGGGCTAGATTCTATGATTAGTTTGTCCCACATAATATCAAAATAAATTTGTTCTGACATTTAAAAATCAGAAAATTACACAAATACGCATTTCCAGATTCCATGGGGACAAAAACCCAGATGATCTGACCAGAACAAGTAGAGCTAGGGATAGGGCATGGGCTTTTAGACTGGGCATGGGCTTTCCAGTTTGACATGCTTCCAGCCACTCTCAAATGCATCCATCTTATAAGGTTTCTCATGTAACTTACCAAACAAGCACCTATACAAATTTCTGTATGATCTCCCCACCCTACACTTTGCTGCACTCTCCCAAATGAGGGCTGGAAGGTCCTTACCAAGGTTCCCAGGAGGACCATGGACTGAGGTAGCAGAACCATGGACCACAGTAAAAGTTTGTTTGCTTACTCTTGTCAATTGTTGCAGAGAGACTACTAATTATCTAAGATCAATTTTCCTTTTTTTCCCGGGTATAAATGTGCTCAGTCACCTTTGCTACAAATAAGAGGCCAGTGGAAGCTGGTAGGTGAGGCTTCCAGGAAAGTTACTTAATAAGGTGATAGTCAGCTAAGCAAGAAACATTTTTGCCCTTGCCACTGTTTTTGATGGGGATATGACAACTGGTGCTCCAGGAGCCTTCTTGTGACCTCAAGAATTGATATAGTGTGAATATGGTTTGACTTTCCCTTAAGGCTCCAAATATTAAAATTTTATCACCCTCATGAAGTGCTGAAAAGTATTGGGCCTTTGGGAAGTGATGGGGATCAGATGAGGTACTTAGGGTAGAACCTCTATGATTGAGTTTGGTAGCTTTATAGAAGAAGGAGGGAGGCCAAATTGATATATATAGAGATGCATAGGTACTATTTGTCTCTTGTCATGGGATAGTTTATGCCACCTTCAAACTCTGCAAGAAAGGCCATCACCAGATGTGGCCCCTTGCCTGAAGCATAAGCTAAAATGAACCTCTTTTCATAAAAACTTAATCAGCCTACTTGAGAACATCATGGTAAGTGAAATAAGCCAAACTCAAAAAATAAAGAGTCATATGTTTTCTCTCATATGTGGAAACTAGAGACGAAAAGGGAAAAGGTGGGGGGAAGCTCATGAAAACAGAAGATAGATTAATTAGAGGAAAGGGATCAGAAGGAGGGAGGAGGGGAGGGAAAGGGAAATACTAGAGAATGATATTGACCAGGTTATATTTTTATATTGTGTGTGTGTATGTCTATGTAACAATGCATCCCACCATTATGTAAAAGTATAATGCACCAATAAAAATATGAAACAAAAAAACACAAAAGTTACCCAGCCTGTGGTATTGTTATTAATAACAGAAAATGAACAATACAAGGATGAAACCCATGTGCTAAGAAAGATGGTGTCACACTACCAACCCTGAAACAACCTACCTCTAAACCTTTCATAAATAATACAAAAATAAATGCCTGTCTTACTTAAGCCACTGTAACATCTTATTTCTGTAATTAGCAGTCAAATATGATTTCCAAAGATAAACCAAGCACAAAGGTTGTTGGCCTTGGGTACTAAAAACAAATACTGGAGAGAACCCTATAACTAACCTCAGTGCACTTCAGCCTCCTTGTCTGTAAAATGCAAATAGTAATACACTAATAAAATTTCCCCCAAACATGTCCATATCCTATTCCCTGGAACCTGTGAATATGTTAGGGTACATTGCAAAAGGGAAATTAAGGTAGGAGATGGAATTAAGGTTGCTAATTAGTGACATTAAATTAGGAAGACTATAATGAATTATCCAGTTAGGCCCAGTATAAACACAAAGGTACTAAATATGGAAGAGAGGGAGAAGAATTAATCTCAGAGAAATGCAATGTGGAAAACATTTAACAGCTATTGGTGGCTTTGAAGTTGGAAGGAATTCGTCAATAAAGGAATACCTCTAGAAGCTGGGGGAAAAAAAACAGGAAACAACACTTTTCTAAATCTCTAGAAAGGAATGCAGTCCTCCTGAAACATTAATTTTAGCCATTGAGGCTGATTTTTAACTTTTACTTCCATAACTATAAGATAATAATAATATGTGTTGTTTAAAGTCAACAAGTTTGTTGTTCAGCAGCAACAAGAAACTAAAATACATAGTAGGTGATTTATAAATGATAAATACAAAATTATTTTCTTCTTGCAGTGTTGTGAATTGAACCCATGGCCTTATGCATGCCAGGCAAGCACTATATCACTGATCTGCATCCCCAACAATTAAATTAAATACTTGCTGAAAAAAGAAGACACTTCATTTGATCATTTCATTTCATTTTGCAAACTAGCCCCATTTACAGTTGCAGAAATTGAGGTTCAAAAATAAGTAACTTTCCTAAATTCATCCAGTGAGTTTAGTGGCTAGATGGCTTCTCTTTACTTGCTATCTGCATCTGCCTGACTGACTACTCTGTTTCTTGTCTTACTAGCTCCAGCAATGGCAGTTTTGCCAACAGATTCCCACATCTGTTGTAACTGAAGTGTGGTAATTGGTTGCTAAGCCATGCAATTGGTTGCTAGGCTCCCTTCCCCCTTTGGCCCCAACACACTTCAGCAACTGGAAGTTAATAATCTGCCAGCAAATTAAATTTGGTGAAAAGATCAGACAGCATGTTAATCGGAAACCAGGTGATCCAAGCTCATCTCTGAGGACTGTCTGACCTTCTATCAAGTACACCCCCTCTGTGAGCTACTGTCTCCCTACCAGATGTACGAACTCCTGGGCCTCTGTGAATCTAAAGGGGGATGCATACATTTCTTTGAGCTACTATAAACATCTTCATATCTTCATGCTTCTGCCTGAGCATTTCTCTCTGCCTCCAATGCCCTAAACTCATGTTTCCTAGAGTGTTGTACTTAAGCATGGTTATAAGCAGTGGAGTCTTTATTGCATAAGGAAGATGTTCTTACCCAGGAAGCTTTTCCAAGACAGATGCCAGATCCCCACCTGAAATTCTTATTTTATTGGTCTGGATAGAGCCTAGATATGAGTTAAAAAAAAAAAAAACAGCTGGGAGCTGTGGCACATGCCTGTAATCCCAGCAGCTCAGGAGGCTGAGACAGGAGGATAGCAAATTCAAATCCAGTGTCAGCACAAGCAAGGAGCTAAGCAACTCAGTGAGACCCTGTTTCTAAATAAAACACAAAATAGGGCTGGGGATGTGGCTGAGTGGTTGAGTGCCCCTGAGTTCAATCCTCAGTACACCCCTCCCCCTGCAAAAAAACAAAAAACAACAAACTTCCAGGTGATTCTCTCATGTGCATCCAAGAGTGAGCACCACTGGATTAGTAATTCATCATAGGAACCTGGAGCTCAAAGCCCAGCCTTCGATACTTCATAATTATGCAACACTGGTCAAGCTGCCTCAGCCCTCTGGGATACAGCTTCCCCATCTGTAAAGGAGGGGAGAAAATGCCCCTACACTGTAATACTGTCATAGGGATTATATGAGTTCGTAAAAGTAAAGCACTTAGAATAAAAGTAGTTAGTGTTAAGGCAAATGAAATAATTGATTTTCTGCACTTAAAACTACTAATAGCACATAGAAAGTATTGCACAAATGCTGATTATTATATCAATATAAATTTATAGATGTTTATTTTAATGTGTATTTATGAACAGATAACTAAAATTAATTTATAACACTAGAATAATTCTACCTCTTCTTCCAACCCCAGCAGAGCATAAAAAGTAGAAAGTCTTCAGTAGAAAGTCTTCCCTGGTATTCTCATTTGGAAATGTTTTCCTTCTGTTGCAAAGCTTCTTTGTCAAATCTCATTGATTTCCTCCCCTTACTCTATTTTCGCCATTTCTTTAACTAGCAGTGCCACCATACCCCTAGTTGATGGGGCTAAAACTTAGCAGTAGTCCTTGATTTCTCATCTCCCTATTTGGATAGTAAGTTGGAAAAGTCTATTAGTTTTACCTTCTAAATACTGTATAATCAGACTGACCACTTCCATTCCACCTTGGTTTAAGCCAACGTCCTATCTCATCTGAATACTACAGCAGCCTCCTCACTGAGCTCCTGGCTTTCTTTGCCCTAACACACCACTCTTCACACAGAAACCAGAGAACCAATTAGATCAGGATGCTGACCAGCTTAAGTCCCTCCAGTGCATTCTTGACGCTGAAAGAAATCAAACTGACCAGGGCCTTCAAGGTCTGTCAACCTCTCTGGTTTCACTTATCTACCAGTTCTCCATCTCTCCAAATGTAGCCATATAAGATTTCTTGAGGATCTTTATCCAAAAATCAAAGGAGAATCATTAAAGAGATTTTCTTAGATTTACATTTAATAAAGATCACTCTGGCTGATGCATAAAGAACAGATCTATAGAGACTGAAGATAGGCACTTTGAGAAGGTTTCTTTGCTATAGTCTTGAGTAGGGAATAAACATGTATTCAAATACCAACTCCAATGCTTCATTAGCTTTATGATGTTATATCCCCAGTCTTTTAAAAAAAAATTTTGTAGTTGTAAATGGATGGAATGCCTTTATTTTATTTGTTTATTTATTGAACCCAGTGCCTCACACATGCTAGGCAAGCACTCTACCACTGAGCTACAACCCCAGCCCATATCACCACTCTTTGACATGGAGTAACATTATGTGTCAGCAATCATTATTAAAAGCACTTAGCACAATGGACTCACATGTATACTTTATTTTGGGTACCAGGGATTGAACCCAGGTTTACTTTATCACTAAACCACATGCTGAACTTTTTTTTTTTTTTTTTGAAACAAGGTCTTGCTAAATTTCTTAGGGCCTCACTAAATTCCTGAGGCTGGCTTTGAAATTACAATCCTCCTGCCTCTGCCCACTGAGCTGCTGGGATTACAGGTGTGCACCACTGTGCCTGGCACATCACTTTATATATATTTTTATTCACTCTGACATTCATTGTCACATTTGACTTATACTACAGTCTTAGTGAACAAGTAGGGAAGGAATTATTCATTCTAGTTTCAGGATCAGGAAATTGAGACTGGACTGGACACTTTATTGACATTTCTGATGCTTTAAATGTCTAATTTTATTTTGCATGAAAATCTCAAAACTCCAACATATGTTTAGATGTTACTTACCACAATGTTACCTTTTTAAAGAGGTTTTAAATCTGCAAATTATCTATGATTCCTTTACAAGGACTTACTGAATATAATTAGCACTCCCCTTATTAAATATCAGCTATATCCTAACTACATATAAGTGTTAAGGTGTAATAGTCTCAAGTAACATGGAACTGTGAAAACACTTTCTTGTCTGGGAAATTATAGGTGTGTGCATGCGATAGACTTCCAAATGTCAACCACAATACAGTGTAGCGCCACCCTCTACAGGTAATGTCAGACACCTAAATCACTTAACAAGGATTAGCAATCCCACTCACAGCTTAATTCCCTCAACTTGCATTATAGCAATAGCTCAAACCTCACTGAAACATGTTCCCATGGAAGGTGTCCCTGACACTGCATCACAATCTCTGTGTACTGCATTTTATATTCTTTCTCTTATTAATGTGATTTCCCACCCATTTGGTCCTTCATCTCAGGAGCCATACAGAGTAAGCATTTGTATTGCACAAATGAGGAAACAATGACTAGAACAAAATATAAATGGTGCCTAGCCAGTACTTGTTCAATAAATATATGTGAATAATAAGTGTCATTTCCTAGATGAGGAAACTAAAGCTTGCAGAGCTTAAGTGAGGTGCTGAAGGTCACAGGGTTAATATGCAGCAGAATCAAGATTTGAACCCTGGAATTCATGCTCTTACAACCTGAGAAGTAAAGAAATTCTTCAGTTGTTAAAATCACATTATTCAATCAAATAACAGACTGCTTACTTTTCTGTGGCCCTAAGTCTACTAAGCATCATGCATTTTGATATTTGTTTACTGCCAATCAAACTCCAGGACCCATGCTCTTAATTTACAGGCAACACCTTTCCTTTGGTGTTTGCTATACAGCTACTTTTAAGGTTTCTAGGCTTCAGTCTGGGCCCCTCCTTTCCATGTGACCTTGGGTAAGTCAATGTTCCCTTCTATGTCTCCTGCTGGGAAGCAGGCAGAAAAAAAAATGGCTTTGTGTCCAGATTCAGTAACACAGGATATAAAAATGATTACTTTTGTATACTAAGTGACAGCTTAGAAGAAAAAAAAATAGCCTTCATTTCAAAGAAAAGTCAAAGTAATATTCAAATGAGGTTGTTTGCAATGGGGGTGAGTTGGAGAGGGCTCATAGGCATTCCCTCAACTAAATGCCTATGGGCCCTCTGCTATGTAGGTTTTAGATGATAAGCCATCTTGCTGTTAAGGTCATCATGTGTTTTTTTTCCCAGTATAAATCAGGTTTTGACCTGCATATCTAGCCCTGTTGCTCTCTGAGCCTCCTACATCCTACTGCCGAGCAGCTGCTGCTAAATGGGGGGAGCTCATCCAATCCCTTTTTGCCCCCAACTCCCTACCAGCTTGCTGAGAGGCGCTTGCTGAGGAGGGAGGTAAGCGCTAAGCAGCTGATATGCCTAGTCTATAAGCTGACCCAATTTAGAAGACTTTTAAAACCCAGGAGGGCTGCTTTTTATGCTGCAATACAGCAGTGCACAGAAAGACTACAGCAGCAAGCTTCAAGGTTTTTCAAATCACTCAACCAATATTTATTGGGCACCTGCTGTGAGCCAGACATCATGTAGAATATTATGATGAGGAAGACTCAGACTCTGCATTAATACAATAATATTGTGTTAGTATGTGTGTGGGAGGGTGATAATGATAAAGGAGATAACACATAACTATACAGTTCTGAAACAGGATAGAATATGTTATGGATTATTGAAAAAATATAAACACAGCCCAAGGGAAGAAGGTCACATGTTATGCAGAGGCTTTGTGGAGGCTGTAGTCTTTCAGCTAAAAATGTAGATGAATGTAAGGGGAGGGCATTTTGGAGAGCACAATTTGTACAGGCTAAGGATCAGAGATGAGAAAACAACTGCTCCTGAGGAGAGGAGCCACTGAACAAGCAGTAAGTGAAAATGGTGATTCTTTTATTCCAATAGAGGATGGACCAGAGAGAGGTGAGATGGGAAATGGAGAGCCACTGGGAGGTTATTGCACCCATCCAGATGAGAAACAATGAAGGTTTTAGATTAGAACAGTGGAAGTGGAGAAACAGGGGAAATATGAACACAGACATACATACAGGGAGAGCACCGTGTGAAGAGGAATGCTGAGATCATGGTGATATATATCAGACATAAAAGCAGAATTAGAGAACTGGGGATGTAGCTCAGTGGTAGAATGTTTGCCTAGCCTGTGTGAGACCTTGAGTTCAATGCCCAGCACTGCAAAAACAAAACAAGTAGACTTTCCAAGATTTGACAAATGATTACACATGAAGTTAGGGCAGAGAGAGGGATAAGTCAGAGAAGAATCTGAAGTTTCACAGCTGCATGACTAGAAAGATGGTATAAAACAAATAACCCAAAAAGCCCTCTCAGGAAGAAAGGTAAGTTTAAGCGAGGTCCTTCTAGTGGTAGTGAGGAAAGAATAAGCATTTTGAGGAATTCAGAGATGCCCAAAGGACATGCAGATGGACGAGTCTAGCAGGCAGCAAACATACAGATCTTAAGATCAACAAACAAAATACTATTGATAGTATTTCTAGGGAATAATCAGATGATGGGTGTCATGGGTTGAAGTACATTCCCCCAAATTCTTACGCTCAATTTTAGTATTAACCCAGGATCTCAGAATGTGAACTTATTAGGAAATAGTATTAAT